AGAATTTTTCATTTGTATTTTATTAGCATTCATCTGAGAGTTACATAACAGGCATAAATCAATACACTAGATATGGGTATAGAATTTCAAACAACTTGCTCAAAATAAGACTGTAATAAAGAGAGAGAGAAGGAAAATTGGAAAACTTGCTTGAGCAAGTGTAATATTATGCAGTTATGTAATTCGAGCTCTGTATCTTAACAGGCTACTTAGAATAATATGTGCATGATATACAATAATAGACGCATATAAGGCTCGGACTATAATATTAGCTACAGTTGATGCTGTCGGCCTACTAAGGCCTAGAAAATAGCCTACACATTTTACTCCTTCCCCAGTCCTTTACTATTTCTCGAGTTGCCCTCTCCAGGGCTGGTAGTCTCTGGTGGGGTTGTCTATTGGGTTACTCTGTCCACTTTTGATGAGGCCGTCAAGCCCAAAGCACAGAAGAGTGCTCCCGCATCCTTGTTGGATGTGAGGGTAAGTGTTTCTTCACCATCAGGAATCAAAAGGAATTCCCTTGCTCCACAGTGATATTTCATGGATTGGTCACATAGTTTCCTGGTGACTGGAGCCAACCTTCTTTTTTCCATGAAAATGGGAGATCATTGTATAGCGTTCCTGCATGTACCTCAAAGTGCACTGTGTCCATGTCTCTGGAACAATTCACTATGGCTGATCTCGCCATTATGTCTCTGGTGACGGCTATGATGTCTCTGGAAGCACCCGCATATGCAGTAGTGAACTTGCGTACGTTGAATGCTAATGTGATGTATGGTGTTTCAGAGCTTCCTTTGAGACCCATAGAAGCAACCAGGCTCTGCACAAACAGGAGTTACTCCTCTCCTACTGCTTTGGTATTCCCCATATGCATAAGTATTTGATGGCTGTACTTTCTCTAGTGAGACCACCATTTGTTTCAGCTGCTAAATCTGACTGGTGAGCTTCTCCAAATGGCCCTAAGTCTGTTTAAGCTGGGCACTACTGAACTCTCTTGTGAATCACACCAATCTCGAAGTGTGCTAGTAGGCTCCTCATCTTCATTAAACTCTTCTGAGATCTCCTAGCCACATTGGACCTCGGGCGTCATCTTGGAAAGTGTTGGAGGTGCAGAGCCTGATATTGGGTAGATTATGCCACTCTGAGCATGGTTGTGGCTTATGTATGTGTCCCATAATGTCATCTTGTGGGGAACGCAGAAAGATCTTCTCAAAAGTATTTTTTTCTTTTGTATAGTTCACTTTTTTGAGGGGCTGTATACGGAGCCCTACAAAACTGCATCTGATCAGTTACTTTGCCAACTACACCTTCATTGAGATTCTTCTTTTGCTGTAATTATGTGTTTAGTAAAGGACCCTCTCAGCTCCAGTGTTATTCACTTGTTGACACATTTGATAAACCTCACTCACATTGACGCTGAAGGACCTGGTCTCCATTAATGTTGAAGAGTAGAAAGACGGAACTGATCACTTAGCCAGATGGAACTCTTTGGAAATATGTGGTCAACTTTCCACACATAGCTTTTTAGTAAATAAATGCCATTGGTTCAGAAACCCTTGTTCTTCCATTTAGATTGGACTAAGAAGTCACACGTACAGTTTATTTTTATTCTTTTTTTATTAAACATATATTTAAAGATTGACTTTTTCTGCCCTAAAGCTAGTATTTAATGCTTTCCATATGTATTTTGAGTAATTTAAAAAACGTATTAAAAAAAAAAGACAATGCTTCATACACTAGTCGAAATTTCACAATATGAAATATGCCTTAGTGGCTTCACATCTCTCAACATTTATTTGAAATTACTCTTGACAAAAGTATCAGTATATTTGTGATTTATAAAATGAATTCAAAAGAATGACAAAGGTCTAAGAACTACGGAGAGTCCATTATATCACATCCAGAGCAAAAACATATTGACCATTTTTTTAAAAACTGTCTGATTTTTTCTGTCTCGTTAACGGATATTTAGAAATCACTCAAATGTGTTTTTTGTTAAATTTAAAGACTAGTCAACCATTATTAAAACCACAGTTCTTGCAACCACCAGCTTTGGCAAACCTCAACGAGGGAACTCCCTATTTTCTACACATTCTCTTTACACAGAGAGTGAACGATGAATAAACAGGGGTGCAATTTTCAGAATATTAACTATTACCATGTGACACAACAAAACAAATTCTCTAACTTTGACCCAACGCTTGTTTGTTTAAAGTACTTATCCTGCGACAATGTTTCCAAGAAAAATGTTTACTTCCTAAAATGTGTTGCTTAATCATTGTCCAATATACAATTAGTAACTAAGGGGAATATATGATTCATTAGAACAGAAATGTCCAAATCTGGCTATCAATCTTGTTTTGGACTGTATTTTTCATAATTCTTTGCCAGATATTTGTGTACTTGACGTGTTTATGATAGTTCAAAATAAACCTGGTTGTATCTATTACCAACTGCATCTCTATTCCACAACAAGTGACACATAGATCTCCACGAAGCCCGTCCAAGGATAAATCACTTTAGAGTTGTTATTAAATGATTTTTATTAATTTTCAATATAACAAGACATACAGTCAAGAAATGTATCAATGAACAATATTAAACCACTGACATCAACAAGACATTATAAAATGCATACAAACAATACAATCAAATCGAATAGTCAGAAATAATATAATTGCAAGATCAGATTTCAAGAAATTCACCAGTTTAGCTTCTGACAAATACAGAATACAATAATGTGTGGGATAAATATCTTAGACAGATAATATTGATAGCTTCAAGCTAAAATATAAATAAACTGTAAATAGTGAAATCCCTTAATCTAACATATCAAGGGTTCACTATATTTATCAGTGTTCTAAGACAACACATTCCATATACTGTGTTAAAAATCAAAATTACAGATACTCACAAAATACAAAATAAACAAGACAACATCCTAAATTAATTAACCTGAATTGAAGTTTGTCCGAGAGAGGATGATCGAGTATGTGCGCTCAAAGGAGAAGAAGGGGGGGGGGAGGGTAGTGTTGGAAAGGCTGCCAAGAAATAATTGAGGTTGAGCAAAGAGAGGCAGGTGCATCTGCAGTGTTTCCAACTATCAATCTATGCCCAGCAGATTCATTGTGGGTCAAATTTCCTTTTTATAGTATTCGAACCATTTAGACCAAATTTTATTATACTTCGGAATATTACTGTTATTGAAAAAGAAAGCTTTTTCCATAATTCCTTGATGATTAATTTGAAATAAGATTTCAGTGACCTGAGGGATGTTTGTAGACTTCCAATATCTAGATAGGCAGATCTTAACTGCCATTAGTATATTTATTGTTAGGCATTTTTGAGATTTCGTTAGACCATTAGTATTCATATGGAATAGAAAATTCTCAGGAGTCAATATTAGAATCTTTAAGTCTAGATGGTTAAAGAGAGATACCACAAAATCTTTTATCGGACTTAAATTAATACAGTCCCACCATATGTGTTTTAAAGTCCCAATTTCTCTATTACATCTCCAGCATTGGTCTGTATATTGGGGCTTGTATTTACATATTCTAGAAGGGACTAAGTACCACCTATTTAGAATTTTGTAGAAGTTTTCTAAGATATTTATACAATGTATTGATTTCCTGAGACAGTCAAAGGACTCTAATCATAAATGGTAAGGAAAAATTGTATCTAAGTCTTCTTCCCATTTTAGAATGTTATTTGTTTTAATTTCAAAAGTAAGTTTATTAATAATCTGTCTAATTTTAGAGGATCTTAAAGGTTGCGAACCATACAGAATCATATCTAGGGGAGACTGATCAATTATTTGTATTGTTCTGAGAAAATTAGTTATTCTTAAGTATGTAAATCTCTCTTTGTTGGACAAGTCATATTTTAATTGAAGATTATGAAAAGTATTTGGAGAAATGTTGGATCCTAATTGGCCAACTTTTACAACATTTTTTCTTAACCAATTAGTTAAATCCAGATCTCTTTTGTATAATTTCATTAATTCCAAGGGAGCTTTACACAAAATTTGATTTTGAACAAGAAAAAGTTTTTTTTATCGGATCAATTGATTTGAACATTTGTGATATAATCCAATTATTTATTCCCAGATTTATGAACATTTTATTATCAAGCCAAAAGAATAAGGAGGGATCTATTCCAGCGCACTCTTCTTTCTCCAATTTATACCATGTTTTGCTTCTAGATTTCATGTTACCCCATTCCAAAAAAATGGGAAAATATGACTGAATTATAGATCAGCTGTATGTTGAGGAAGGACAAAACTCCCTCTCTTGAGTGTGTTATCATTATTTTCCTACTTATTCTTGGCTTTTTATCAAACAAAACAAAAGAATAGAATAATTTGTCAAACATTTTTAAGATTTTGTTTGGTAATCTTATTGGGATTGTTACAAATAAATATTCAAGTTTCGGCATCAAATATGCCTTTATTGAATTTAGTCTACCCATCCAGGAGAGTGTTAAACTTTCCCATTTTTCAATATGATCCTTTAAATCTTTGTATAGTTTCAAATAATTTAAATTTACCCATAATTCTGGATCAAAATGTATTGTAGTACCAAGATAATTTATTCTTTGTGAGTCCCAATTGTATTTATATTTAAATTTGAGTGTATTTACCTGATCCTGAGTTAAATTTCTGTAAATTATTTGGGTTTTTTGTAGGTTTATTTTGTAATTTGAGAAGTGGCTGAAATTGTCTATACACTTCATTACAGAGGGAATTGAAATTTCTGGATGAGTAAGGGTTAGTATTATGTCATCTGCAAATAATGTTATTTTTTGTTCGGTCTCACCTGTTGGTATTCCTGAAATAATTGTAGATTTCCTGATATATGCTGCAAGCGGTACAATAGAAAGAACGAACATCAGGGGGGCCAAAGGGCACCCCTGACGTGTTCCATTCCTAATATTGAACCAATGTGAATTGAAGCCATTTCCTAAAATGTTAGCTTTTGGAAAGGTATACAATGCCATGGCTGGATCTTTAAAGGTTCCTACAATGCCGAATGCTGTCATTGTTGCATCTAGGAATTGCCAATTGACTCTGTCGAAAGCTTTTTCGGCATCGACCGCAATATAGACAGCTGGTATGTTTCCCTTGATGATCTTTAAACTTAAATTCCGGAGATTATCGCCCCCTGATCTTCCTTTTACAAATCCTGATTGATTGTTATTTAGTAAATCAGGAATGATTTTACTCAATCTATTAGCTAAGATTTTAGATAATATTTTTATGTCTATAAGAGATATTGGGCGATAATTTGTAATGAAATTTGTATCTTTCATTGGTTGGGGAATAGGTGTTATTGTAGCATTTAGTAACTCAGAAGAAATACTTTTTGTACGATTGGGTTCTCTAAACCATCTATATAGAAGAGGAGATATTGTAGGTTCAAATGTTTTATAGAAAGAGGCAGTAAAGCCGTCTGGACCTGGCGCCTTTCCATTAACTAAGCCTTTAATAACTATTTGAATTTCTTCTAACGATATATCCCTATTTAATTCTATTAATTTATCTGGATTGATTGAGGGAAGAGTAATATTACTAAAAATACATTAAGTTCCTCTTTAGTAGCTTTACTTTCTGGTAAATTATATGATATGAGATGAATAATAGTTTGTAAAGGCATTCCCAATTTGTTGCGGGGAAAGAGGGTTTTAGTTCCTTCGATAATTTTTTTTATTGGATGTTTATTTCTTGTAGGTTTAAGTTTTTTTGATAGTATCTTCCTTACTCTATTACTATTACAATACCATTTCTGTTTACAAGACAGAATCATTTGTTTTACTCTATTTGTGAGTGATATATTTATCAATTGTTGAATTGTTTCAATTTGAAGAGCTGATTCTATAGTAGGATTCTTTTTATTAATTTGTTCCATTTTAGCCAATTTTATATATAGCTCTGAAAGTTCAGCACCCTTTTTCTTTTTTCCCCTGGCTTCTAATTGGATTAGATTGCCTCTTGTTACACATTTGAATGTTGACCATAATATTTCACTGGAAACATTTCCTTTGTCGTTGAATTCAAGGAATTCCTTGATTAATAAATCTATACGATCTCTATTCTCTTTGTTTAATAGAATCGTTTCATCGATCCTCCATTGATAGCTGGGTTTGTAAGACTGGTCTTTTATTGTTTAACCTCAATAGGGGCATGATCTGGCCAGCTGATGGGGCCTATATTTGAGTCTATGAAATTGACCAAATTTTTAGAATCAGTTTGAAAAAAATCGATTCGAGAGTAGCTATTATAAATTTTAGAGTGATAAGTAAAGTCCTTTTCACTTGGATGTTGAACTCGCCATGTATCATAGAAATCGTATAGGTTTAAAATATCTTGCATCCAGTCTGCCCTTTTTTTATAAATTTTAATTTTCTTACAAACTTTAGATGTTTTCCCATCCCATTTTTCGTTTAAAACGGTGTTCCAATCTCCTCCAATCAAAAGTATACCTTTTTTCATGTTATCAATCTTATCACATAGCTTTGTATAACATTTTTTGGAAAGCTCATTTGGAGCATATACATTTACTAAAGTAAAAATTCTGTCGTTCAATTTACATATTACTATCAGATATCTACTACTGGGATCTCTTTCTATGAATAATAATTCAAACTTGATTTTAACTGAACAAATAATAGCTACTCCCCTTTTTTTTCCCCCTTCAGGTTAGCACATAATACAATTGGATAATTAACAAATTTCCATTGGTCTTGGGCATTATCTTTCCACTTTAGTGTTAAAGGCTAATTACAACACATTATTGGAGAAACCAATTTTGTGCTTTATGTTTCCTCTCTAATCACTTTCTTTAGGTCCCCCTAAAAGGTTTCAATTAAAATCATTAATAAAATACTTCACACTCATCTGAAATCCAGTGCCAGGCTGATTCTCTTCCACGCCTCTGCTGTCATGGTACAGTGTCATCTTCTTCCATTCATATATACAGGGAGTGCAGAATTATTAGGCAAGTTGTATTTTTGAGGATTAATTTTATTATTGAACAACAACCATGTTCTCAATGAACCCAAAAAACTCATTAATATCAAAGCTGAATATTTTTGGAAGTAGTTTTTAGTTTGTTTTTAGTTTAGCTATGTTAGGGGGATATCTGTGTGTGCAGGTGACTATTACTGTGCATAATTATTAGGCAACTTAACAAAAAACAAATATATACCCATTTCAATTATTTATTATTACCAGTGAAACCAATATAACATCTCAACATTCACAAATATACATTTCTGACATTCAAAAACAAAACAAAAACAAATCAGTGACCAATATAGCCACCTTTCTTTGCAAGGACACTCAAAAGCCTGCCATCCATGGATTCTGTCAGTGTTTTGATCTGTTCACCATCAACATTGCGTGCAGCAGCAACCACAGCCTCCCAGACACTGTTCAGAGAGGTGTACTGTTTTCCCTCCTTGTAAATCTCACATTTGATGATGGACCACAGGTTCTCAATGGGGTTCAGATCAGGTGAACAAGGAGGCCATGTCATTAGATTTTCTTCTTTTATACCCTTTCTTGCCAGCCACGCTGTGGAGTACTTGGACGCGTGTGATGGAGCATTGTCCTGCATGAAAATCATGTTTTTCTTGAAGGATGCAGACTTCTTCCTGTACCACTGCTTGAAGAAGGTGTCTTCCAGGGAACTGGCAGTAGGACTGGGAGTTGAGCTTGACTCCATCCTCAACCCGAAAAGGCCCCACAAGCTCATCTTTGATGATACCAGCCCAAACCAGTACTCCACCTCCACCTTGCTGGCGTCTGAGTGGGACTGGAGCTCTCTGCCCTTTACCAATCCAGCCACGGGCCCATCCATCTGGCCCATCAAGACTCACTCTCATTTCATCAGTCCATAAAACCTTAGAAAAATCAGTCTTGAGATATTTCTTGGCCCAGTCTTGACGTTTCAGCTTGTGTGTCTTGTTCAGTGGTGGTCATCTTTCAGCCTTTCTTACCTTGGCCATGTGTCTGAGTATTGCACACCTTGTGCTTTTGGGCACTCCAGTGATGTTGCAGCTCTGAAATATGGCCAAACTGGTGGCAAGTGGCATCGTGGCAGCTGCACGCTTGACTTTTTCTCAGTTCATGGGCAGTTATTTTGCGCCTTGGTTTTTCCACACGCTTCTTGCGACCCTGTTGACTATTTTGAATGAAACGCTTGATTGTTCGATGATCACGCTTCAGAAGCTTTGCAATTTTAAGAGTGCTGCATCCCTCTGCAAGATATCTCACTATTTTTGACTTTTCTGAGCCTGTCAAGTCCTTCTTTTGACCCATTTTGCCAAAGGAAAGGAAGTTGCCTAATAATTATGCACACCTGATATAGGGTGTTGATGTCATTAGACCACACCCCTTCTCATTACAGAGATGCACATCACCTAATATGCTTAATTGGTAGTAGGCTTTCGAGCCTATACAGCTTGGAGTAAGACAACATGCATAAAGAGGATGATGTGGTCAAAATACTCATTTGCCTAATAATTCTGCACTCCCTGTAAATATATATGTAATGAGTGAGTGATTATATCTATCATCTCTCTATATATATAGATTCTTCTTCTCTTTGCCTGTCTGTCTGTCTATCTCTCTATCTATCCATCTGTCTATCTGTCTATCTGTTTATCTGTCTGTCTATCTATCTGTCTGTCTATCTATCTATCTGTCTGTCTGTCTATCTCTTTCTCTTTGCCTGTCTGTCTATCTGTCTGTCTATCTATATATCTGTCTGTCTGTCTGTCTGTCTATCTATCTATCTATCTATCTATCTATCTATCTATCTGTCTGTCTGTCTGTCTGTCTGTCTATCAATCTATCAGTCTATCTATCTATCTATCTATCTATCTATCTATCTATCTATCTATCTATCTATCTATCTATCTGTCTGTCTGTGTATCTATTTATCTATCTATCTGTCTGTCTATCTGTCTATCAGTCTATCTATCTATCTATCTATCTATCTATCTATCTATCTGTCTATCTGTCTGTCTGTCTATCTATCCATCTCTATCTAATGTATATCTATTTATATCTTTCTATTTCTATCTAAGCAGTGACAGTGGTGAGAGGGAAGGAGAAGGAGAGATAGTGGGAGGTAGATAAAATATAACTTGTGGAATGAGGGCAGGAGAGAGAGAGCATTTGTTTGGAGGGAGAGCTTGGAAATCCTGGCCAGGGAGAGTGTGCGCACCCCGAGCCACCCGCGCACAGAGTGAAAGACATTCTCTCACCCAGGCTGCAATGTGAAGAATGGCATCGCGTCTGTGACCAGCGTGACAACAGATGTTGTCTATGCACAGAACTCACATTGTAACTAGCCCACAGCACAATCCCCTGGCACAAAATGGCAATGTTTCCTGTATGTACAGCGTTTGAAGCTGCTTGCTCTCTGACCATTTCAAAAAGTGGTCATGGATGATGGAGTAATCATTTAAAAATAAGGTTGTTATGGCTTTTCAAGCCACACTTGGAGATTACTTTAAGATGGATTTTCTTTTTTTTCATCAAAATCAATGATGGGGATGTTTGAAAGGTTGAACATGATGAAAATTAGTCTTTTTTGTTTTGTTTTACCCTGTATTACTTGCAATGCAACCATGCGAAGCTAGCCCTCTACTAATCTTCTAAATTGATACTATAGCACTAGGAATAGAAATCTATTTCCAGGTCCCCCACCCAAGTGCACAGCCAAATAATAAAAGTCATTTTACTTAACTTTTCTCCAGCACCGATGCTCCTCCTCTTCTGATGTCATCTTGGAGGCGTGCTTCAAGGGTGACGATCCAATCCAAAGCTCTCCATAAACTGGACTGTAGGCCAAGCACAGCACTTACCAACCCACCAATCAAAATGTTGTCATAGACAATCATTAGATTCAAAGATTTTCTATGTCAAGCTGTGATGGCAATGCGTGTGAATGATGGTATACATAGGCAGTGGCATACACACAATCCATGGGGCCATGGTGCGAAACTGATTCTTTCCCCACCCCCTCCCCTGACAGACACACACACAGACACATACATACAGACAGAGACATATACATACACACATACACACAGACACATACATACATACATACACACAGACAGACACATACATAGAGACAGACACACACACACATACATACAGACACATACACACATACATACAGACACAGACAGGCACATACACACATACATACAAACACATACACACATATATACAGACACAGACAGACACACACACACACACAGACACATACACACATACATACATACATACAGAGACACACACATACACACACAAACACAGACAAACAAATACATACAGGCACATACACACACACACACACACACACAGACAGACAAAAACACACATATGCAAAATGTTTAAGTCACCCTCCTGTTTCCTACCTTTTAGGTGCAGGAGGGTGACTTTCCCTGGGGTCCAGTG